GGACGTGGAGAGGACGAGGAGAAGAGCAGTGAACTTATTTCTAATTTTTATCTGACTTATTTAATTTTATTTTTATTGTTTTTATCATCCAGGCTCTGTGAGAAAATTAATTTGAAGCTGAGTATTTTTAATAAAAATCGTTAGATTACTCTAAAGCAAAATGAGGGAAAATCTGTGTCAGTTACAGACACGTGAGCAGCTGTCAGTCAGCACCTGTCAACCTCCAGGCTCACGATGGAGCGTGTCTGAACCAATCACTTTTGTTGGCATTGTTCAGCTGACTGATTTAAATACATCTTAACATTCATGAGGTACTTTACATTGACTGTTTATGGTTGAGTGTGGGCGTGTAGAGGGTAGAACCTGAGGCAGGACCTCGTGCGCAAACTCTGACGTGTGGCTGTGATTTATAAAGGAAAGATGCGTAGAAACGTGCGTACGCACCGTTTTATAAATCTGAAATTTTTTTGGCGTACGCCTTTTCCACCTTTTGGCCGTACGTTCACTTTTAGTATGGTTTCCACGCAATCCTTTATAAATGAGACCCCAGGTACTGTTAAAATGTCCCCAGCCTCCATCACAGTCTGAAAACTGCTGTTTGTTATTAACGTTTTGTTGTTTTTCTCACCAGGGAGGAAGGTGCAGAGAGCTCTGCCATAAAGGTGGGCTTTGTTACCTACAACAAGGTGCTTCACTTCTACAACGTAAAGAGCGCTCTGGCCCAGCCRCAGATGATGGTGGTGTCAGACACGGCCGAGATGTTCGTCCCTCTGCTCGACGGCTTCCTCGTGAACTACGAGGACTCGAGAGCCGTTATCTACAAGTAGGATACATCTCGTTGCACACGTGTCTCATTGTTTGGATTGTTGGTCCTCCTCAGCTCGCTTCATTTGGCTGAGAGAGACTCAGAACAAACTTTTAATGCGTCCTCTTCCCTCTCCAGCCTCCTGGATCAGATCCCTGACATGTTTGCAGACACAAACGAGAGTGAAACGGTCTTTGCCCCCGTCATCCAGGCCGGCATGGAGGCGTTTAAGGTTCGCCACAGGGTGACAGCTGTCAGCATGTAGTGGGACCTCCTGGAGTTACATGACTAACATGGGGTTATTTCTGGGCTAATGTGTGTGATAAATCCAAGAAAATAAAGTCAGTAGTATAAAGAGAAGCTTCCTTATTTTACACTGTTTTACTAAAAGTTCCTATTTTATTTTTAGTTTCAGTCCGTTTATAGTGTGAATGTTATAAAAGCATGAAAGGATGTCAGCCTTCCTAAAACTCTTCAAAATGTTTATAAATCTTTACTGTAGTTTCCACTTTTTGTTCTGGTTCTGCCTTTTTAACKTTATCATTTTTGCTTTTTCAGCTATCTTTTGGCCCATTTTAGCTACAGTTTTGCTATTTTGTGCTTATTTGCTTCTTTTTCTATACTGTACTGCTTTTCTTGCTACTTTTTTTARCTGTTTTCAGATAATTTTAGCTTTATTCCAGCTAAATTCCCCTTTTTGTGCACATTTCAGTTCCTTACTGCTTAATTCAGCAAACATGTTTTTTTCTGCTTCGTTGTGCTAGTTTCTGCTTTTTCAGCTAACATTCAGGTCCTTTCAGCTACTATTCTGTTAATTTAAACTATTTTGTGGTATTTTTGTTTTATGGCAATTTAACTGTACTGGTTTTCTTTGCTAATTTATTTAGCTGTTTTCAGCTAATTTTAGCTTAATTTCAGCTAAGATTGACACAAAAATTGACCGTTTCTGCTTTCTCAGATTTTGCACACTTCACTTCATCTTTTTATAAATCATCATCTAATTTCTGTCTTTTGCTTGTCCAGGCAGCAGAATGCAGCGGGAAGCTTTTCATCTTTCACTCATCGATGCCCACAGCTGAGGCTCCGGGCAAACTCAAGAACCGTGACGACAAAAAGCTGGTCGGCACAGACAAGGAGAAAGTGAGGAGCTTTTTGTTTAGTTCTTAATCTGTGCTGGGGTTTATTTTACAATAATGTGAATATTTTTCTTTGTGTCAAACTGCRTTTGTTGCTTTTCTCATTAAGCAGCTGTTTGGACTTTTCATGTCTTAAACAAAAAGCTGCAGTAGATGCCGCCTTTAGGCTTTGTTGAAAATCTGAAAACAGTTGACTGACCCAGAATCTGTCCCCCTTTTTTTTTAATCCACAGATCTTGTTTCAGCCTCAGAAAGGTGTGTATGAGCAGCTGGCTAAAGACTGTGTGACCCAGGGGTGCTGCGTGGATCTCTTCCTGTTCCCCAGTCAGTACTCAGACTTGGCCACCATGGCCGATGTGCCGTCCCACACCGGAGGCTCCRTCTACAAGTACAACAACTTCCAGGTATTCAGCTTGCTCTGTACACACAAAAGACTAAAACAGTGAGACAAACACATTTGTGTCTGATTATAATAAAAACAGAGAATTTAATTTGCCCCAGTCTGCTTGGGTTTAACTTAACATATAATTGATGACAACACTGCCCTCTGCTGGCAGATTGAGACAGACGGCGAGCATTTCCTCAGAGACTTGAGGAAGGATGTAGAAAAACACATTGGATTTGATGGAATCATGCGAGTTCGGACCAGCACAGGTCAGAGACCAACCWTTAATCCAGTTGACCTCCCAAGTGATTTCAGTAACAGAGACCCTCTGTGTCCTGATTCAGGCTTCAGAGCCACAGATTTCTTCGGGGCGGTCCACATGAACAACACCACAGATATTGAGATGGCAGCTGTGGATTGTGACAAAGCCCTGACGGTGGAGTTTAAACACGATGACACGCTCAGCGAGGAGACCGGAGCGCTGCTTCAGGTTTGAGTCCCTTTTTTTTTTAGTAGGAAGAATAAATCATTGTTGATTTTTTTTTCTTCTTCATGGGAGCTCATATTTTGTCTCTGCTGTCAGTGTGCCTTGCTCTACACCACCATCGGCGGGCAGCGGCGTCTCCGCATCCACAACCTGAGTCTGAACTGCAGCTCGCAGCTGTCCGAGCTCTACAAGAGCTGCGAGACGGACGCACTCATCAACTTCTTCGCCAAATCAGGTGAGTTTATTTGTAAAAACCAGAGTGTTAAAAGGCCAGTTTTAAACTTTTCAGAGTCAATTTAACTCCCCCAGTGTTATTTTAACACTTTCTGAGTAAACTGAATTCCAGCATTGGTGTTAATTCACAGTGTTGATTTTCCTAGCGTTGTCTCAACACTGGACAGTGTTAAATAAGGCTCCGCCCACTGTTAAGTCATATGACACTAAGCAGTGTTGAAAAAAAGCATCCTGAAAAAGCCCCACCTTCCACCTCATAACAGACAGACCAGTATTTTCACAGCAAGGAATGCTGGGTAATCCTGTAGAAATTGTTTTTGCATGTTTATGACTATTAAAGAAGTGTAAAAATTAGTTGTTCTAGTTAGTTGTTTTGTTCAGGTTTACCAGCTGATCAAGTTTAAGTTTGTTATTGGCCATAAATCAAGACCATGAGTGAGAGGTACTTCTTGGTGTGTGAAGATCGACTTTATTACACTTATCCTGGAACTACTGTGTAATGTTAATGCAACATTAAAAAGAGTTGATCTTAACTCTACAGTGTTAAACTTACACATTCAAATTTGCTGTGTAATGACACCTAAGTGTCTGTTTTACACCCCTCTGCACAGCAAAAGAGTAAGTAATCAACACAGTGTCAAATTAACACTAGTAGGAGGTATATGAACCTCCAGTGTTAACCATCAATAACTCAATGCAGTGTTGAAAAGCATGAGAATCAGAGTTGATTTGTCACCACAGTGGAGTACCTTATTAACTCTGCTTAGAATCGTAATTACTCTCATCATGTATTTGACTTGAAGAGTTAAGTTTTGTTAACACTGAACAGTGTTAGTCAGTGTTAATCTTTGACTCTGTTTAGAGTTGAATTGTACTCTGAAAATGTAATACTATGGAAAGAGTTAATCTGACACCAATTCAGATAAGGACCAAATAGACTCGGACACGGTGTTAAATTTAACTCTGTGTTGATTTAACACTTGAAAATTTACTGTGTAGCGCTAAAGTCCAGTTGGATCTACTCAACACATTGTTGTTATCGCAAACGTTGACTTTTGAGTTCATTAAAAGTCCCGTGTCGTCCCGTCAGCTTACCGTGCCATATTGAACCAGCCTATAAAGAACTTGAGGGAGATCCTGGTCAACCAGACTGCCCACATGTTGGCCTGCTACAGGAAGAACTGCGCCAGCCCCTCAGCTGCCAGCCAGGTCTGTACAGGTCCAGCTCTAGAGTCCGACTGAGTTTCGATGTCGGGAYACAGAAGTCCTCGATGGGTTTCTCTGACACTAACAGTGCAGTTTGTCCACATGTAGCTGATCCTGCCCGATTCCATGAAAGTGTTCCCCGTCTACATGAACAGCCTGATGAAAACCGCCCCCCTGCTGGGCAACACCGAGCTCCCTACAGACGACAGGGCCCACCAGAGGCTGTCAGTCATGGCCATGGGGGTGGAGGACACCCAGCTGCTGCTCTACCCACGCCTCCTCCCGCTGGTACCAACTAACACTCTGCCTTTTTTTTTTTTAAAATAAACAGACTTAAATAAATGAAAACTGTTTGGATTTTTTATTTTATTTTCCCCCCAGCACAACATTGATGTCAGCAGCGACGGAGTGCCGGCTCCGGTTCGCTGCTCCGAGGAGAGACTTACAGATTCTGGCACATTCCTGCTGGAGAACGGGAACGTCATGTTTCTGTGGCTCGGACAAGCGAGCCCACCAGACCTGATCCAGAACCTCTTCAATGTGCCCTCYCTCGCTCATTTACAAGGAAACATGGTCAGAAATCATCCCACTCCCTCATAAATACTGAAACCAGCTGTATGGGAAACAGTAAATGACRGTGTTCTGAACTGTAGTTTCATCGTGCTCTCTGTACAATGACACATAAAGGTCTCACTAATCTAATCTCTAAAGGGAGACGGTCACTTGCAGATCTTTCGACACTTGTTTGCTTTCCTGCCCTCCAATCAGATGTGATGTTTTTGACACATTGAGCTCATGGTTTTTTTTTAAATGTTTTTCAGACTTCACTCCCAGAGCTGGACAACCCGCTGTCAAAGAAGGTTCGGTCCATCATCGGTGATCTTCTTCAGAAGAGGCCAAACTCTATGAAGGTGAGAAATCCAACACATCTGTTGGACGGACCCCCCACCCCCCCTTCAAACTTAATGAAATGGAGATGAAACTTGCGGAAGTAAAAACAAAAAAAATCATCTTTGCTGCCCTCTAGTGGAGCTGAGATGCAAATACAACCCCAACATCTTCAGCAATTAATAAATGAACTGATGACATTTTAAGATAAGCTTTAATGTTGAACATGGAAACATTTTGAGCACTCCAGGATAACTTACCAAGAATACTATTTAAATTTTTAGTACATAAGAAGCTATAAAAACTTCTCTCCGCTCTTTGCAGCTGCAGCTCGTGAGGCAGAAAGACAAACTGGAGATGCTGTTCCGTCAGTTTCTGGTGGAGGATAAGGGTCTGCACGGCGGAGCCTCCTACATGGACTTCCTCTGCTACGTTCACAGAGAGATCAGGCAGCTGCTCACCTAACCCGACCTCCTCCTCCTCCTCCTCCTCTCCACAAGCCTGAGAGAACCAACCTCCTGCAGAGAACTCCCAGGATCCGCCTCTGTAGGACTGAAATAGTTCAGGTGATCCACACAAAGTTTCAAAGCCATCCGAATGGAAACAGAAGCAGAGAGCTTTTCAGGAGTCCAGCAGCTTTATTCTTTGAATATTTATCACTCAGGAGGGCTTTCGAGTAAATCTGTAGAAAGGACTTGGACATGTAGATACTTAATGAGATGAGCGGACTGGAACCACCACGGCTCTTTATGCCCACCAGCAGGAGCAATACATCCACTACATTATCACTTACCTACAGCATTTATTTTCATTTAACTTGATACATTTATAGCATCTAGAAAAGCTTATTAGTGCCTTTCCACTCTCCTAAGGAGACAAAGGATATCTCAGTAAATGTTTCGTTGCTGTCTGACTGAGAAGTCTGTTTCAATAAAAATCTTGAAAATCCCAAATGTAACAAGAACAGCAGCAAATCTGTCCTGTTTTGACACAACTGATTCAAAGTGTTGGATCCACACATGTCCCCCTCCACCAAACGTCACATTCTTTGCCCATTTATGGCCGAATCCTCTCCTCTCTCGGCGCGGCCATGCAGAAAGCCGTTTTGTTTTGGCGTTCTGAGTGCACGACGAGGCGAGCACAGCTGTCGCTCGACCGTACAGGCTGCAGCAAACCAGGACCGAGTGGAGAAGAAGAAAACAATTTAGTTTTTCTTCAGTCTTTGAGGTGGAGTCGGCGGAGAAGTCTTTGTTGAAAGGCATTGAAATTGTATTTTTATGTTCCTACAGAAGTTTTACTATAAGTTTACAGCAATTTGCACACATTAATGAAAAACTAAAGAAAAAAAAACCTAGCTTTTTACCACAGTCTGGATGAAATTAGAAATAGCAATAAATCCATATTTCTCCTTCCTCATTCTACTCCGTTATTCCGACACTCGTAACACTGTCCATGTGGGTGCTGAGCTGTGATTGGCTGAAATGTCCAATTTGGAGTAAAAACCAATGCTATTATTGCAGTCCTTTGTGACTGATTTTGCACAAAAYATTTAATTACAATGAAGATAAAATTTCAAAACCCAGTGCAGCTCTAATTCTCCTTTCATCAGGTCACCTTCAGTGTACAGGAAGTTTACTCGTTTAATCAATTAGATCCTGAAATCATTCCAGTTCTGTACAGTGTACTGTTTTTGTTTTTATAAGTAATTCCTTCAMCATAATTTGTTATTCCTCTGAATAATCTTTAAACCTTTGCAGTTATTTGTGCATTTAAAAGTGCAACTTGTGTYTTTCACATCTCCACCTGCCTGATGTTTAAAATGTTTTGTCAGAGTAAGACATGACTGGCTGCTCTGTTTGGTTTGTCTGCAAACTTATCTCAGGTGATTTAATGTTTTAAGAAACAACAAAAAAAAGCAGTGATTGAATCAAAGGGAAAAGATGGATGGCTCTTTGTGCGGCACACTTGATGTTTTCATGAACATTTCATTACAAAATGTAACGTTTTTGCAAATTAAAACATTGAACTGTAACTGCTGCTTATGGTTTGTTTACAAGTACAAGAWATATTTGTTCAGGAAATTTGTTTTWCAAAATTTGAAGCCTGATCACTCAGTCCTGATTGGATGAGTTTGGGGTCCCATGTGTAATATGTCGCCACCACAAGGAGGCGTGAGTTCATTGTTTTTTTTTTTTTTTTTCACTTTAACCACCTCACCTGCTATGATTTATAAATATAAATCTTAAACAGGATGTTAAAGTTTGTTCTCCAGCAATCAAACCTACATTAAACTTGTAAAAAGTAAARCCTTTTTCAAAATTAAGGAAATTGATGAAAAATATGCAAACACACACACAAAGTCTTGTTTTCTTTACTAAACTCAAACATTCCTCTGTAAGGTTTCGTGAGTGACTCCCAACATGCGAACGCTTTTATAAACATGTTAATTCCTTTAAAATATTAAATCTATAAAGCTCTGGTCTCCCTCACTTCCCTGGTTTGTCTGAATCAGTTTCTAACATCCATATCACTGGCAGGAAAAAAACAAAGAACAAAAACAGAAAATGTCAGATGAAAACACTCAGTAAATAAGTTACATAATGTCCAGCCCTTTCTTTCGGAGCGTGAGACTTTGACACAGCGTGGCTTTCCCCCTCCACACCATTCACTGCCAATCAGTGGTTTAATCAGGAGTCAATCAGGCTGAGAAGGTGTAGGCAGCTGGAYGTTCTCCCACAGAAGCATGAACAGTCTGTCAACCTAAAGTAACGAGTTTAATACAAAGTTTTTGATCATCAACAAAACCTGCGACGTCCTTTCTTAAAGATCTGATTTACAGAAACAAATCTAAAGACCTGGATTTCACCCAAGAGCAAATTGTCATTTAATACTGTACAACTGAATCTTTTATACAATAAGCATGAAAGCCTATAAATAACCTGAAACACTGCTCTTAGTAAAAACGGCCCCACAGGACTAATAAATAAAAATAACATGATGATTGATGGTTGACTTTACAAGAAATATACATACGTACAGAAATAAAAATACACCGAAAAGCATCTTCTCAGTCTCTTTTTGTTTTTAAACAGTCATTGTTGTTTAACATGATTCTCTTGGTAAATCTACCAGTGTGCTTAAAACTACAGAGCCCGCCAAGGGGCAAAATCAAAATGTCGAAAAAAAAGCAGGAATTTAAAAACGCTAAAACACCCACGCTTCATTATTCGGTGGTGAGAATGTTCATATTATTGGTCGTGTGGGCGGGGCCTCATACCATACATTTCCTATTAGATTTGGTGACACTTCGGTCAGTACTATGGACGTCACAGTGAGGCCCAGATTTCTGCAGRGGTTACATTCTTAGAGTAGGAAATCATGAAAAAAAGCAAATGATTGATGCAGTCCAGAAAAGACTGCTACTGGGTGGMATCGAATTAATTATTTTTTTAACGGAACCCAATGTACATTATTTTTTGTTGCAGTAGTAAGTTAAATTAATTTATCTTATAAAACTCACATCCCCACCCCACAAGATTAGAAATGGGCGTTCTGTAGTGTAGTTCCGGTTTTCAGAAAATTGAGGGGATTACCGCAAACTACTAATTAGGTTCTATTAAAAAAAAATCTGTAAAAGACTGAGTCCGTAAACTGTGAAACTCTTGCAGGGCTTCACTGTATTGAACATTATAGCCATGTTTTTTAACGTGTAGATGGCTTCGAAATCTTTGTGTTTTCTTCTGTTAGATCTACGCCCTTCAGCTTCAGACGGGAAAACAAAACTCAACACGTTAGCTGGTGCCCATAAACACAAACATCATCGCAAATCCACTTCCATCTAAGCTGAAGAAACTAGTTTACCAGCCACCATTTTATTTATTTTTTGTTTTGTTTTGAGCTTTCCTGGCCCTTGGCAGGCTCTGTATAAGACAACCCAATGAYATTATGGTCCAACGTTGACGTCAATACAATCCTTGTGTTGTCTAGTTGGCAAGTAAACATGAAAAAGTTTGAAAAGTTTGTTAAATATAATTCTTATCTAATGTTTAATCTTTAGTATGTACAATTCGTAATGGTACAGTTTTTTTTCATCTAAAGGCTTTCTTAAAAAAGCAAAATCACAAACCACACTCGATCAGTAGGAACACTCTGGAACTTAATTCTTAAAAACAGAGCAAGATCTGATTTAATGACCCAAGARCTCACAGTGATTTCACTTGGCAGTAAATAAAACTATATTTTACTGTCTTTTATTGAACACCATAAATAGTGAAATTTTATTTATAGCCTAGAAATGACAGTTTAGCCACTWTTTAGTATCCAGCTGGCTGTTTTGAGTAAACTGATTAAAAAGCAGTTCATTCCAGAGTGTTCTCACTGCGCAGCCTACTCCTAATTGTGGCCCACAGTAATGAACAATATTTTATCTATGGTCAAAAGTCTGCATAGCACACTGTACACAGTATGAGTCCAAGTCAGTAATTGGGCCGTGCTAAAGATGGTGTTCCCTTCCAAAAGCTTCCACGGGCAGCCAAAAGTTAGAGAACATTTTCAAAGAGGTGCATTGATCGCATGATGTTTTCATCCTGGGGATAAAGAGAGACAATGTAATGAATACCGCTGAATTCAGGCCAACGGTAGTAAAAGCAGATTTGCGAGGAATCCAGCTCACATTTTGGCAACAGTCAATGAACTCGTCTATGGTTACCACTCCGTCTTTATTTTTATCCATCTTCTGTTGGGGATAAAGAAAAGAGGGTTGGGGTGAAAAAAAACAAAAACAAACATGAAGGATTTCTGAAGCGTTTTATATAATAGATACAGAGCAAACACTTGCCTGAAAGAAGACTTCTACGTGCTGACGGGGCGTCTCCTCTTTCAGGACGGGGTATGTACATTTACCCATCATGTCGTAGATGGCCTTCATGATRTCCAGCATTTCCTGTTACATGTAGGAAAGTGACAGTTCATGTAAAATGACCAATAAAAAAATAAAATTAAGCAATTGCACATAAAAAAATCCATTTATTTTCAAGTAAGGGTCTYTGCAGTACATAGGGGGAGTTTGTCCTTGGTCAGACTGACATGTCTTGTAGGGCAAGTTACAGGGGTTAGACAATGAAACTGAAACACCTGGTTTTAGACCATAACATCCCTTTCAGACAGCTTCCTCT